GCTGACGCCGCCAAGGAAAGCACGGGCAGGACTCAAAATTCACTCACTCTGTAACAGGCTAATTTTTTAGTTGATCATTTTGTATGGCCCATGAATGATGTTATAAATATCCACATGTCCCTTGGCAGAAAAATGGTTCCCCCCAGTGGCTTAAGGTGCTATAATAAGAATTAGTATATGGGAGTGGGGGCCAGTGTCGTGGCACAGTGGGTTACGTCACAGTTTGTGATGCTGATATCCCATTTCAGAGTGACGGTTCAAGTCCTGGCTGCTCTGCTTCTTGGGCCCCTGCCACCTTTGTGTAAGACCCAGATAGAGCTCTGGGCCCCTGGCTTCATCCTGGACTAGCCACAGCCATTGTGGTCATCTGTGGAGTGAACCAACAGATACAAGATATTCTCTCTCTCTCTCTCTCTCTCTCTGTCTCTTCCCTCTGTCTCTGTTACTCTGCCTTTCAAATAAACAAAACTTAGTGTCTAAGAATGCCTTGTCTTACTTAATGTTCAGAACAAACCTAAGCCAGGCAGGCAACTCCCTAAGGAGCCGGAAAGTGGAAGGTAGACTCCTAAGTCTCCTATTTGTCCCGTCCTAACTGCCCCACTCACTTTGAAGTCTTGGAAAGACATAGAACTCAGAACTGTCTCCATTAATAATTAAGCTCGTGAGACAACGGCCTCAAGGTGAAGCCAACCTCGGCCAGCACCTGGTACCCTTGGCTCTTAGAGCTGGCCCTAGAATTTCTGCCTCCCTCCCTCCCTCCCCCGGGCTTGCTGCCACCCTGTCGGTAGCCTCTGGGTAACACCTTCTATCTAGTGAGTGTTGGAGCCTGCTTGCCGTGGTGCAGCGTGTGTCGTCGTTGCCAACCTCTAAGTGCGCAGTCTGAGGTCGACAGAAATGAAGACTGGGTTCAAAATCAAGGGCGAATGGGAAGAGCCAGGAGTCGTGGCTGGGACCCGAGCCTGCCCCAGTTCTGCCATGCTTGCTTCCTCCCAGGCACAGGGCAGAGGGGTGGCGGTGGGAGGTGTAGACTTGTTAAGCCTTTTTTTTTTTTTTTTTGGCTTCTGTTTTTCCTTCAGAATTTACCTTTCAAAAACACGTCTTTCAGATTTTCAGGAGCTCAAACTTGCACCGTGTTTCCAAGTGCTTCTCCCCACTCTGTTTAGGCAACACAAGTGCAAGGGTGAGTCCCCCGCTCTGTTGCCATGGCAGCCGGATACCAGGCGGCAGGGACACCGCAGATGTGTTTGTGGTTGAATAGACACAAAGGCGGCAGCCTTTCACATTCCACCCTCTTTGTCCTGTAAGGCCACTGGGTCAGCAGAGAGTTGAACAGGACAGCGTGGCTGGCGGATCCGGATCTCTGGGCTTCTTGTGCTGCTCCACTGCTGCCCTGTCCTTGTAAGTTCAAGTTTGGACCAGCTCAGGCCTGTGCACAGTTGAGAAGGTTCCTTTCCCATTGGTGACAGCAGCTGCTTCTGATCCTGCATGTTCCACTTTCTGTATGGTTTAATATAGATTTCCGGGCTTGGTGTAATCATGGATTTCTAAAAGTTTATCTATTTTTAATTGAAAGGCAGAGAGAGAGAGAGAGACAGATCTTCCGTCCACTGGTTCCCTCCCCAAACGGCTGCAATAGCCACAGCCAATAACCAGAAACTCAAGCACTTGGGCCATCTGCTGCTTTCCCAGGTGCATTAGCAGGGAGCTGGATCAGAACAGAGGTGGGACTCCATCGCAGGCATTCCTGGCAGCATGTTAACCTGTGCCACAGTGCCAGTAGCTACAAGTATGTTTTTATATGCAGATCTTGAATGCATTTCTGTTATAATTAGGGATATCTCTCTGTGCCACTTCTACAAACCTGTGTGCTCCGGCAAGGGGCATTCCCCCGGGTGGTGATGTTGGCCGGTGTATTGGCCTGCAGTATTACTGGAGCTCAGAGATCACTGTCTTGCCGTGAGTTTCTGGTGGTTCGTGTTTGTCTGATGTAGATTGGGATTCACTGAAGGGTTTGCATTTGTTCATCTCTGAGGCTCTTCTGGCCTGGGAAATCCCGTGCATTTGTGAAATACTTGCTCAGAATCCTAGCCCCCCTGGGGGTAGCCTGAATGGATCCATGCAGGCCACAGGTATTATGCATGTGTGGCAAAGTCAAAGGTGAAGACCCTTGTGCGTGAGGGACTTGGGCAGGCTTGCCCATGAGCGAGGTTTAGTGTGCTGGACCCCCTGTAGGATGTCACAAGTCAAGTGGTGGTGGTGGTGGTTTGAGGGGTAGAGCTGCCGGGATGGGAGAGTTAGGGGAAAAACCACGCCTGGAAGAAATCAGCGCTGCTGTGGCCCTGTGTGCCTGTCCCCTCTTTGGAAGGTACAGAAGGTCAGAAACGGGAGGAGTCCTGAGCCCTGACACTGGCTCAGGGGTCAGTGCTGCCTGCGTCCTGGCCTTGCGGGCTGTGCTGGGCCACCACCGAAGGTCAGGGAGAAAACCTGACAGCCTCGGGCCCGCGGACTGTGTGGCCCCGGGGGCCGTGTCCCCGTGTCCCCGTGTGACACATGCTGCACGGCCCGCCAACACGGCCTCCTCGTCCCGAGTCCTCAGCGTGGCTGAGTCTGGTGGGGCGGAGGGGTGGAAGGACTTGCTGGGTTTTCATCCAGATCACAACCCCTGGTTTTCACGTGGGCCACACTGGTCACAGGTCCCCTTAAGCTCTCTGGCAATCCTCACTCGCTGAGTTTTCTGGGTACGCTGTGTCCAGCGAACCTGTCACCCTGCAGGCCCAACCTTGGGTGTCAGCTTGGGAGGCTGGCCTGGCCCACACTGGCTCTGCTGCCCCTGAGCCTGTGCCGAGGTGACAGTGCCCACGGAAGAGGAGGACCCGCCCACCGGCACGGCCCATCTCGTCGGGAGCGCCTGTGTGATGCCCTACCCCCGGGCATCCCGGGGGGCCCCTAGGACTCTCGGGTGGGTTTAGCCTTGGCCCAGTTTGGACGGTGGCCTCCAGGGCCGGCCCTGTCTTGGAAGGTTGGGAGCTGTGGGCCTTGCTGGGCCTGGTGCAGGCAGAAGTGACTTCCGCAGGCAGCGGGGGCCCTCGCTCGCCCTAGGCTCGTCCCCGCGGCCTGGCTGAGCACAACAGCAAAACCCAACAACCACGACAGCGTTTTGCTCTGGAGAGGGGCCCTGGGTGGACCTCTGAAAATTACCTTTGGATTTTTTTCAACATGTATATATTTTTATTCGAAAGGCAGAGTTACAGAGAGAGAGAAGGTGAAACAGAGAGAGAGAGAAAGAGAGGGAGAGAGAGATCTTCCATCTTCTGCTTCACTCCCCAAATGGCTACCACAGCCAGGGATGGGCCAGGCCAAAGCCAGGAGCCTTGAACTCCATACATGGGTGGCAGGGACCCAAGCACTTGGGCCATCTTCCACTGCTTTCCCAGGCCATAGCAGGGAGCTGGATTGGAAGTGCAGCAGCCGGGACTCGAACCAGCGCCCATATGGGATGCCGGCGTTGCAGGTAGGGGCTTAACTAGCTGCTCCGCACCGCCAGCCCCACCTTCTGATTTTTGAATTCCCATCAGGGACATACATTTTGCCAGCCTCCAGGTGTCACAAGATGTTTGGGTGCATACAGGAGCCGGGGATGAAAGAGTCTAAACTGCGGGGTGTGTGTGCATGTGTGTGCGCAACTGATGCACATGAGCTGGTGGTAGGCGGTGTGGGCGCACCTACCACAGAGCGAGTGTGAGTCAGGGAGAGCGGGGTGGAATACCAGAAGGTGAAGCAGCAGCTGCCCCTGTCCCGAGCAGCCACATGCAGAGGGGCGAGGGGGAGCTGGGATCCAGGGTCAAGTCTGCGGAGCACGGGGAGGGAGCTCTGCACAGAGATCCGTAAGGACCCCCGTTCAGCGCAAGGGCCCCTCCGCCCCCAGGGAAGCGGCTCCTGCTCCCCACGCTGTCCTAGGCGCTTGGCAGCTCTTCCCAGTGCTTCTGAGCCCCACCCGTGCCAGGGGACAAGCAGCTCACAGTCACATAGCTTCCGTTCCACGTGCCAGGCCAAGGGGAAATTACTCCCATCTCGTGTTCCCAGGGCTTGGCAGACTGCGGTACCTGAAGAGCAGGGAGCGAACAGCCGAGGCACTCAGTTGTGGTGGCGGAGTTTGGACTCCTGCAAGCGTGGTCTCAGCACGTTTCCCCGGGTGGACCTGTCCCTGGCAGGGACGGCGTTCAGTAGTCACCGAGCGCAGATCACTGAGACGCTGCTCGGGATGTAACTTAGAAAGCCTTGCCATGACTGTCGGGGTGGGGGCGTGGCTGACAGACTTGTAGGTCATTTGTAGACTGTAGGTCAAACTCTTAGCGCAGAGCCTCAGGAGCGGCTGGGGTCTTGGTTGACAAAACCTCCAGCTGGTCAGCCAGGGGCTGCCTCGGCTTGGTGCCTAGTGACGCTCGAGTGTCTCTGGGAGCCTAGGAATGCTGTGTGGTCATCCAGGAAGCATCGGCAGCCCCGTCGTGGTGCTCCACCCGTCTGGTGCTCCACCTGTCCTGGTGCTCCATCCATTGTCCTTAAACCCTCTCAACTGAGCTGTTTAGCAGTCTAGCAAGAGGCTCTAAACAGCAAGATGGAAATACTGGCAGCGTCTGGCGAGCAACTCGGGGGACCAAACACTGAACCTCCAGTAGGTCTTGCTCTCCTGGGGGTCCTCAGTTCCCTCTTTGGGAAACTGAGGAAGCACAGGACAAGTTCTGAGTAATCGAAGCCAGGTGGAACTTCTTCCTCTTTGGACTGTTGGCTCTGGGGTTCTGTGACCAGTGGGAGAGGCCGTCGAGATGGTGGGCAACAGGACCTCACATTTAAATTCCCTTCCTGGGGACAGAGGGTGTGCTGGGAGCTGCCAGCCCCTGCCAGGAGGCCATCCTGCTTGGGTTCAGGAAGGCAGTTTTTCCATTCTAGCCATACTGATTGAATGAAACGCCTTGGCACTGACTTTGCCCTTCTCTTCCCAGCATCCAGCGAGCGGCTTTGGTGGTGCTGGAAAATTACTACAAAGATTTCACCATCTACAACCCGAACCTCCTGACGGCCTCCAAGTTCCGAGCGGCCAAGCACATGGCCGGCCTGAAAGTCTACAACGTGGATGGTGCGTGCCTTGAAACGCTGTCAAGCTTGGGCGGAGTGGGCACAGTTGCACGGCATCGGGGGTGGACTTCACGCTGTGTGTGCTTCTGCTTCCCCTCTGTGCTTGCCTGTTGGGGCCTTCTCTCTACAGGACAGTCAGGCTATCTTCCTCCCCCTCCCTCCCTTCCTCCTTTCTCTCTTCCTTCCCCTTCCTCCTCCTTCCGTCCCTGGTACAAACATATCTTCAGAGGAACATTGATTGGCAGTTTACATATATGGGAAGTTTGATTCACTTTAGGGATTGAATGATTGGAAACAGCAGTGGTGTGTGTTTCCCGCCTCCTTATGGGAACACCTTGTATTGAAAGCTCTCGGGAGAGGGCTGCTTTTTCAAAATTTGGACAAATCACCGGAGACTCCCAGAGCTCTGCCAATCCATCAGGACTGGCCATCTCAGTAGTTCTGGATCTGGTGAGGCATTCATGGGCCTTTCTCAGCCCTGGCCGAGCTGGGGCAGAGAGGGTGGCAGGAGGCCAGCGGGCAGGCTGGGGATGTCCGGGTGGTGTTTCAGGCTATCAGGTGATTAAGTGTAAGACACAGGACACCGTGTCACTTCTCGCTGGGCAGCCTGGGTCGGGCAAGAACTGTGCAAACCCTCGAAATGGATCATGTTGTCAGCAGGTTGGGTGATTTATGCACGGGGTCAGTCTACCGTGGCGGCCCCCTGTCCTCCCCGGCCTTGTCTGCCCAGGTGCAGGGCGCCCTCCCTGGTGAATCCCGCAGGGTTGGTGGAATTCTCCTGTGACCTGGGAGCTTAGCAGAGATCCCCACTGGTGGAACCAAGTCACAGCCCAGTGCGCCCCCCCTAAGAAAGCTGCAAAGCTGCCTTAGCCCACTGAAGAGCTGAGGTGCCCCGAATGAGACAGGGCTGCTGCATGTGCGTGAATACTCAGGCCGTTTCTCGTGGCAGCTGTGGCTGCTGTGCCACCCCACGGCTTGGCATCCCGTGTGTGACCAGTGTGACTCTCTCTTTCTCTCTGTCCCTGTTCTCCTATCTCTCTAATCTGCTCTCATTGTCTTGGGGCTGAAATGGGACGTCCAGCTGCCCAGGTGGCCAAACTGCAACTTTGTGTGACAGACGGTGAGTGCCATCTTCACACACGCTGCTGACACTCCCTGCCCGTGTGTGCCCTGCCCCGTGTCTCTTCAGCCCTTCTGCGTTCTTTTCCATTTCCGCCGGTCAGGTTGGCATCAGGCAGTTAGATGTCCCTGCTCCTGTCCGTGCCCTGGCCACAGTGAATGCAAAGCCGGGGGACTCCATGCCCCACCCTGGGAAGTTAGGTCTAGGAATGGTGTGTGTGCTTTAGCCAGGCGAGGGGCACCGTGTTGTCGTTGTCTGCTTGGCATCCCGGCCCCTTAGGATTAAAACCATTCTTGTTCCACCGTCCTTTCTCCAAAGGCCCCAGCAACAATGCCACTGGCCAGTCACGAGCCATGATCGCCGCAGCTGCCCGGCGCCGGGACTCGAGCCACAACGAGCTGTACTACGAAGAGGCTGAACACGAGCGGCGGGTGAAGAAGCGGAGAGCGAGGTTCGTGCCCTCTTGCTGGAGGCTGGCTTTGCTCTTTTTACCGCGAGAATGAAGTGTCCATGTACAGATGGGACCTGCCTGAGCCTGGGGTGTGTACTTCGCTCTGGTGTTGCTGGGAAGGCTGTACAGACAAAGGTCGGCAGTTCTGGCCCCACCTGCAAAGGTTATGAAGATGAGGTGATGAAAGGGCTCAGCCTTCGACGGCAGCACTGGCATCCCATGTGAGTGCCGGTTTGAGTCCTGGCTGATCCATTTCCAGTCCAGCCCCCTGCTAATGCACCTGGGAAAGCAGCAGAAAATGGCCCAAGTGCTTGGGCCCCTGCATCCACATGGGAGACCCAGTTGGCATTTCAGACTCCTGGCTTCACCTGGCTTCACCGTATCAGCCATTTGGGGGTGAACCAACGGAAGGAAGACCTTTCTCTCTGTCTCTCTCTCTCTCTCACTATCTAACTCTATCTGTCAAATAAATAAAAAAAAAAAATTACTTATTTGAGATGTGCAGAGAGACAAAGAGCTCCCATTGGCTGGTTCACTCCCCAGATGTCCTCAGTGGGGGAGGAGGGAGAGTGAATCGGGAGTCAGAAACTCAATCCAGGTCTCTCACCTGGGTGGCAGGAACCCAAGTACTTGAGCCATCACCCCTGCCTCCTGGGATCCACGTTGGTGGGAAGCCGGAGTCAAGAGCCAGAGCCAGGAATCACACGCAGGCACTCCCACATGGACACGGGCGTCTTAACCGGCCTCTCATTTGCTAGGCTGGATGCCTGCCCTGCGTGAGCTTTCAGACGAGCCTGCTGTGAGCCGAGGGAGACAGAGGTGGTTCCCATCCTGAGCGCTGCTGCTCTCCCTCGCTCTTCAACAGGACACTGGGACTGGCTGGACGCAGGGGGCGCAGCCCGGGGTCCTCACAGCCTCCGTGTGCACACGCCCCCTCTCCGTGTGTGCGCAGGACGCTGGGACGTGGCTGGACACAGGGGGCGCAGCCCGGGGTCCTCACAGCCTCTGCGTGCCCACGCCCCCTCTCCGTGTGTGCGCAGGACGCTGGGACGTGGCTGGATGCAGGGAGCGCAGCCCGGGGTCCTCACAGCCTCCGTGTGCCCACGCCCCCTCTCCGTGTGTGCACAGCGTCTGGGGCCTCAGACCTTTCACCACAGAGACACCAGAGAGGGCTGCAGTGCGTTTCCCAAGCTCCTTAGTGGCAGCGTTGGGAGCAGTCCTCTCCTGGCCTCGGGGTTCCTTCCTCCCGAGGCCCTTCGCGCAGGTTACTGTCTGCCATTGCCTGGGCCTCAAGGACAGCCCAGGCCGGGAGCGGTGAGCGCAGGCAGGCCCTGGGGGCGGAGGTGGCAGGCGGGTCTGCGGCCCGGTAGGCGGCACCTTCCAGCTCTCACCCGGTGGCGGGCAGCGTCTTGATGACTGTACTGCGTGGTCTTCCAGGCTGGTGGTCGCCGTGGAAGAGGCCTTCATCCACATCCAGCGTCTGCAGGCCGAGGAGCAGCAGAAAGCGCCGGGGGAGGTGATGGACCCCAGGGAGGCCGCGCAGGCCATCTTCCCCTCCATGGCCAGGGCTCTGCAGAAGTACCTGCGCACCACCCGGCAGCAGCACTACCACAGCATGGAGAGCATCCTGCAGCACCTGGCCTTCTGCATCACCCACGGCATGACCCCCAAGGTGCGCCGCCGAGCCCGGCCAGTCCCCGTGGGGGCTTACCGGGAACGCTAGGCCAGAGGCGTCCCTAGGACACAGAGTGATGAGAACTGGCAGTTCTCACTCACTCCCCTTACGTTGTCTTCTTAGTAAGTGGTTCTTTGGATGCGGCAGAGGGGAGGCTTTCCCCCGCAGACAGCGTGGAGCAGGGAGTCTCTGTGGGCTCTGTAGCAGGAGTGACTCGCGCTAACCCAATTCCTGCCCCAGCAACCTGTGTCACCTCGGGCAAACAGCCAAGTGGCCTTGTGCCTTGGGTTCCTAGCCTCTACTGTGGGGACCCTGCTAAGACCACACACATGGTGTCTTTCTGGGGAAGATCTAACACATGTGAAGTGCTTAAAACAGTACTTGTCATGAGATGCACTGACTTAATAGTTATCATGGGTGGTGGAAATAATGCCATCACTTTGATTGGCATTTTAGATGCTGTGGAATTAGTTTTACCAAATGGATTTTTACATCAAGATACTGGAGCACTTTAGGGATGCTACGTGTAACCAATAGAGGGCCATGGCCAAGGAGAAAAATATGATAGTTGGTCCCCCTTTATCTGAGGGGGCTGCAGTCTAGGGACCTTAGTAAATGTCTGAAAACACAGATGGCACTGAACTGTTTATGTAGTGTTTTCTCCCTTACTCACATACATGTGATAAAGTTTAATTGATGAACCAGACACACAAAGAGAGTAACAACAACAGTAATAAAATAGGTCAGTTATAGCAGTGCACTGAGGTACTGGTGCCGTGACAGTTACCTGGTGAGCTGCATTACTGAGCAGCTAACCCGTGGGTAGCTGTGTACTGGGTGCCCTGGTCAGAGGGGTGATGCACCCACTGGGTGGACCGGAGGGGACCGTGCGAGGTTTCATCACTCCTCTCACAACAGAGCACGATTTAAACCTTAAAGAGTCGTTTAGTTTTGGAATTTTCCAATTAACATTTTCAGAGCACAGGAACCCAAGGGTAGCTGAAACCGTGGAGGAGCAAAGCCACAGGTGGCGGGGGCTGTGCTGTAGCGTGAGGGCATGGTAAATGACGCGCGTTCAGGTCCCGCCTCCACCACTTCGTTGGTTTGTGACTATGCACAAGTTATTGTATGCTTGTTTCCTCTTTTATAGAATGGGATCCATAGTAATCTCTCCCTAACAGGATTATTATACAAGAACCACCCGAAATATGACAGGCTGGCATGTAAACCTCCTGGCAGAGAGGAAGTGAGCTTGGCATGTAGGGCATGTAGTGCACGTGTGACGCGTGGTGGTGCTGTGTGTGCTAGGGCTCCTGTCCCTCCCCGGCACTGTGCTCTGCGGTGTCTGGCTGGTTAGGCTGTCAGTCAGTAACAGCCTTAGGAAAACACTACAGAAATAACCAGCGAGAAACCTTAAGGCTCTCCTCGTTTTTGGGCTCCCTAAGCCCTCTCTTAGGAAAAGTGTTTAGCACAGTCACACAAATATACACAGAGGTGTGTTTTTTGCAAAATAATCTGTAAGAAGTCCAAGCTGTACCTAAATTTAAAATAGAGCAGCGGCTTATAAACTCTGGTCTGTCGCTTGTTGAAACATGGGAACATCTTCCTTAGACTATTAAGTTACAAAAGGCAGAATGCCAAACAGTAGGAACACCACGGCTGCCAGTGTGCAGAGTGATGGTTTGTAAGAGGTGGAGCAGAAGACTTATTTTCCTTTTCTTTAGAAAGTTTTGGACGTTTCCTGATGGATTTCTGGTTCATTTTTTTTAATTGTACTTCCCTAAATTAAAAATAATAATCTTTGTATAAATAAGCAAATGTTAAAGAAGAGTGTAATGGAGAAAGTGAACTTGTCTTCCCCAAGCAGTTCTTACTGAGAAGAGGCTGCTGTATTTCCTACAGATGGTGGTGTGTGTGTGTGTGTGTGTATGTGTGTGTGTGAGAGAGAGAGAGAGGGAGAGGGAGAGAGAGAGGAAGAGGTAGAACAGAAGTGGAAAAACGAGATGTGTTCACAGTATGTAGAAGGTATGTATGTAGGTAGGTAGGTAGGTGGATAGGTGGGTAGGTAGATATTTGGGAGGAGAGGGGCCACTTGCTTTCTTCAGTTAAAGCTCTCCCTTGACTGTCTTTCCATATCAGTACATACAGCTCTAACCCATGCAGGTCTGACTCATTCCTTGTGTGTATGTGTGTATGTTTAAGATTTATTTATTGGCCCGGCACCGTGGCTCACTTGACTAATCCTCCACCTGCAGCGCCGGCATCCCATGTGGGCGCCGGGTTCTAGTCCGGGTTGCTCCTCTTCTAGTCCAGCTCTCTGCTGTGGCCCGGGAAGGCAGTGGAGGATGGCCCAAGTGCTTGGGCCCCGGCACCCGCATGGGAGACCAGGAGGAAGCACCTGGCTCTTGGCTTTGGATCAGCGCAGCGCGCCAGCCGTAACAGCCATTTGAGGGGTGAACCAACAGAAAGAAGACCTTTCTCTTTGTCTCTCTCTCTCTCACTATCTAACTCTGCCTGTCAAATAAATTAAAAAAATATTTATTTATTTATCTGAAAGGCAGAGTTACAGAGAGAGAAAGAAATCTTCCATCTGTTGGTTCACTCCTCAAATGGCCACAGTGGCTGGGGCTGGGCCAGGCTGAAGCCAGAAGCCTGGACTCCCCTCTGGACCTCTCACATGCGAAGCAGGAACCCAAGCACTTGGGCCATCTTCCTCAGCCTTTCCAGGTGCATTAGCAGAAGCCTAGACCAAATACGGAGCAGCCGGGACTCAGCGGGCGCTCATATGGGGTGCCAGCATCTCAGGGGCATAACCCACAACTCCAGCTCCTCACTCCCTGTTAAACTGATTGCCTGTCGATTCACATTTGGATTAGGGGTTCTCATGAGAGCCAGGGGCTGGCTGTTTGTGTTCCCAGACTTCACTTGAAAACTGTCATTGGTTGTATTTGTGTAGCACCTGCCACTGCCTTCACTGTGTGCCTGCAGAGTTGAGTGGTTATGGTGGGAAGGCTGAACTGCTGAAAATATTTACATTTACAGAAAAGTTCACCAACCCCTGGTCAAAACGGGGTGGCGGTGAGTGTCTTTTTGCATATGTCCCAGTGCAGATCTCCCTGGAGGACCCATTTCTAGCAGAGAACATCTGGATCAAAGTTAAAGATCGCTCCAGATGTCCAGAGTCCTTCAGCGTCTGCTTTTGCCCCTGGTTCCCCCACACACTTGGCAGGATGTGAAGTTATTCTTTTTGCATCACTGTTCATCTAAAAGGAGGAAAATATTTTTTATTATTTAAATTCGTATTTCTTTAGTTATTAGCATGATAGGCAATGTTTCCTTATTTTCTATAAATTATTTTACATTTCTTAATTGTTGAATTGTTTCTTTTTCTTATGATTGCTGAGAGCTATCTTCCTATTAGAAGTATCAAAGTAGACACGACCCTACCTTCTGTCCTGGAACAGCCGCCCAGAGGTCAGAAATAGCAATCCTGGCAGTAGCAGGGAAGTGTGCATGGAAGGAGCTACCAGTTCAGACTGCCCTTGACCTCTGTCTGGGAGCCCAGTGTTTCTGCGTTTTACTGCCTCTTCTCACAGCCAAATCAGTGTATTTATTTGATTTGATCCACACGGTTGAGCCCCTTATATGTGCCAGGCACATTAGAAATTCAAATTCAAAAAAAAATAAAAAAACCCAAACACAGTTCCTGTCCTGCAGGAGAGTGGAGCCCAGAGTGAGGACTGCAGCTCTGTGCCCGCCTGGAGTGGGGTGTGGTGTCAGTGATGGCCCTGGGCAGACCCTGGCTCCAGCCAGCCCCGCCTTGCCTCACCCTGGCCGTGCTCACCACGCCGGGCAGTGCTGTGAGTGTTTCTAGAGAGCCAACCCTTGCCATGAGTTCGGTAGTGCTGTCGTCCCCACTTCCAGAGGGCAGGGAACTTGTGCAATGTCACACAACCCAGGAGTCACAGTGCATGCACTTTTTTTTTTTTTTTTGAGGCAAAGACAGACAGGGAGAGCCCCTAACCATGGATTCATCCACAAGGAATCCAGTCCAGGTCTCCCCTGTGGGTGGCAGGGACCAAACACTTGAGGCATCACCTACCGCCTCCCAAGGTGCTTATTACCAGGAAGCTGGGATCAGGAGTGGCCCTGCGATACTGAATTGCAAGGGTCTTAACCTCTATGACAGATGCCTGCCCTGACCACGTCAGAGAGGCTTCCCCCAAATGACACAGTTGTGAGGGCCCGCGACAGGGATCTGCTGCGACAGGCTGGGCTCTGCTCCGAAGTCTTGGCTTATTTGGGAACGTTGGGTGAGAAGGTGACCCCTAGTGGCCTCCCTAAATGCTCTCCTCCACCCACAGGCCTTCCTGGAACGGTACCTCAGTGCAGGCCCCACCCTGCAGTACGACAAGGAGCGCTGGCTGTCGACACAGTGGAGACTGGTCAGCGAGGAGGCTGTGACCAGCGGGCTGCGAGACGGACTCGTGTTTGTCCTCAAGTGCTTGGACTTCAGTCTCATAGTCAATGTGAAGAAAATCCCGTTCATCGTGCTCTCGGAAGAGTTCATAGACCCCAAGTCCCACAAATTCGTCCTGCGCTTACAGTCGGAGACGTCGGTTTGAGAGTTCTATATTTGTGGCTTTATAAAAAGAAGAATATATAGAGATCTATCTATCTATCTATGTGTATACCGAGGGGTGTCTGTTGAGTTGTCTGTTCTGTTCTCTCCGTGGCTGACTGAAGCTGGCAGGTGATGGACCAGCCTCCTTTTTGACCATCAGCACTTTATTTGGAAGAAAGCAGGGGAGGTCTACTCGGAGGAAGGGGACACCAGACTTTCTAGAAGGGACTTCTACGAAGCCGTTCCCCGGAGCGTCTGTGACAGCTGTAACCAAAGCGGAGCCGCTGTGTTCCGGGAGCCTCGCCTTACGACGACCCAGCCCCTGCTCCCGGCCGGTCCCCCTCGGAGGCTTCCAGGGGACGCACTGTTAGTCTGTTTCAGGATCCCAGGCCCTACACGTCCGTGTGTGTGTGTGTGTGTGTGTGTGTGTCAGACCGTCCAGTACCACGTCCCCCACGGAAGCCATGGGCGGTTCAGGGGATGCCTATTTCACCTCTGCTCGCTGTTGCCTTAGATTCCTCAGAGAAAGATCCCACGACAAAAACGTGCACTCTCAGTTTACAGCTATTAAGGGATCTGCTTGTAGGGTTTTTTTTTTTCTCCCTTAAAGAGATAACCTATCTGCCCTCTTTCTGACCCTGCTCTTCTCCTGGCCTCAAGCAGCCAGGCCTTGCCCAGTCCTGGAGTTCTGCACTGACTCTCCCTCCCCCACCTGCCAGGCAGCCCTGGCCACCCAGGCTCGTCCCTGCAGACCTGCACTCTGTGTGTGCGATCCAGCTGTTGGCATAGCCTGGGGCGGTTCCCCAGGTTGTCCCCCTAGCAAAGTGTGGGGTGTCCACCAGGTAGATGGCAGGAGAGCAGGGCAGCTGGAATGCCCCTTGGAGGCTGCAGCAGGAGCCCTACCCCACCCAATCCTCCCCACTGCTCCCCACCGCCCAGGGAAAGACTAACACTGTGACCCCAGGCCTGGCAGGGGCAGCTTGGAGCCCTCGCAGTTCCTGGGGGACATAAGACCCCTGAAAGCACATTACCAGGCTGCCCTGCCAAGGGAGACCAGACAGTGCCGGCCACACTGGCAACTGCTGCTGTCCAGGCCCTGTGTTTTCTGACCAGCGTCACTGTGCAATCCATCACCTCGGCCTCCTACTCCCCAGAAAGGGGCTTGTTTAGCTCCTGAGGTGCAAATAACACTGTGTTGTTGGTCCAGTGGGGAGAAGGGAAAGGAGAGAAGAGGGAGCCCATCTTCAGGGCTGACCTCTGTGTCTTACACGCAGCTGAGTGCAATGCAGTGGGCTTCCTCACCCCCGCCCCAGCCCCAGCTGCCCGGGGAAGCAGGTGCTGACTCCTCCCACCCGAGGGAGCCTGCTGCAGGGGAAGCTCCTTGCAGCCAGCTTGCAGTGAGCTGTCTTCGCCTCCGTTTGCCCTCCTGTGACCGCTGCAGACCCATACAAAGTATTTCCTCTAGCTTTCCCCAGGGACTGAGGCCTCTCAGTCCCCTCACCCGAGCAAAGGATGACACTGTCCAAATGTTCTTTATCTGTGTGCACGTACCCTCATGTGGTCCATGAGCGGGATGGTATTTTGCGCGTCAGTTCCTCAGTCAGAATTGACTGTGAATGTTTGCAATGCACCTGTACCTGAAGAAAGTAAAGCACATTCCCGAACCAGCAGCCTTCCGCTGCAGAAGCTGTGTTGAAGAAGAAGGAAGGGGCAACCCAGGCAGGTGGCGGCGTGGAGCCAAGATGGACTTTGAGAGGCACCTGCTGTGTAACCCTGGTGCTTTCCTTCTTAGCTTCTGCCTTTGGGTCCCTTCAACTGGAAGTTCCTTATGACGTCTTTCTCAGGAAATTTTTGGGGAGATAGCGTGCAGGATGGTGAAGCTGCGTGAGACCTCGGCTGTGTCCAGGTGGGGCAGAGGCTTCTGCGTCATAAGGATGGTGCCCCTGAAAAGGCCACACATGGATGCACATTCAGATGACAATGACACTACTGCTCAGCATTCCGAATCCCTGTGCTTCCCACCCTGCCCTCAGTGGCCATCCCAAAGGGGTGAAGTTGGATTCATGTGCTTTGGTGTGTACATTCCCAGCAGGGTGAAGAAAGGTTTAAATTAAGGAAAATTTATTTTCTCCCTCTCGCGGTCTTTGCATAGGGGAATGTCAGACTTTCTGAAATTATTGTTTCTGTTTTAAATTGAGTATCGATTTTTTTATGCTGACTTTGTATTGGGTCCTTTTTGAAAGAAAAACAAAATAAAATGCAAGAACTTTGTAAAGCCTTCGCACTTTCAGCCTCTTAATAGCTTGAGTTACTGGCGCAGTGGGAACAGTGGAAATGGCATTGAACAATGGGAGGTTTCGGAATGCTACATCACACCCTTGCACACAATGCATTTCTGTTTCAGTTCTTGCAACCAGTAGGCTGTTCCTTTTCAAAGGGGTAAGTGGTGCCCTAAGGCTCGTGGAATATATGTTCTTATTAGAGGATATGGGGTTTCCTTTGCCCTAAATGTTTGTAGATTTTTTTTCTATAACAACCTGTTGAGATTTGAACAGTGTTACACTGAGAAACTCAGCAAGCAGTCTATATCTGAGTCCCTTCTTCCCTGGTGATGGTCTAACCAGTAGGTAGCTTTTGTTCTTACAGGTGCTCTTTTGAAGATTGGATCGTTTTTAATGGTCTGCGAACTGAATGTTTCAAAAGGCTGCATTGTCAGAGATTTTAGGGTTCTATGGTTCATCTGTCCTTTGTGTTATCCATTATGTCATCGTTTTGCTGAAGTCCATAAAGCCAGCCCCAGAGGAGCTGCTTGACCACCAATTTGTCACCCAACTATTGTCTCCCTTTCTCCCTCTTGGCATCTCTTGAGAGGACTGCACCTGGTAAGAGGCAGGTGGCCCTGGTGTGCCCCAGCAGTAAGGGCTGCATCACAGCCGTGTTTGCTGGAGCCCGCTCTCCTCCTTTAGACTCTTCCTTGTTTCAGGCCCCTCTGACCCCCAAACAGCAAGAAACAGAGACAGATCACACTGTATGGCAATCACTGCCCAAACTTCACCACCCAGCAAGCCGTACTATGTATCTTAATATAACTTTAAAAAAAAGTTGAGCTGCTTTTTTTTAAAAGATCAGTTGCCAAAAGCACAGAACTATTAACATGTGGTGTAAGTATTTTTGGGTAGTGTTTGCACTCACGGATCTTGTTACAAAAATAAATCACTGCTGTGGGCTTATTAGTCTGTAACCTCAAGGTCTTATGCCTTTATAAATAAAAGATGACTTGCTTCTTAGGTCCATAGAGCAGTTCTTGCATGGTACCCAGTGCAGTGGGAACTGAGATTGTGTAGACACTCTATTGAAATCACTGGATTGAGCTTTATCCAAATAGATACTCAGAAAATTAGGTTTGGGGTCATATTTGGACAAAACATTTTATTTTGGTCGAAGAAGGAAGAGTGCTAGCACGGCGTTTGTCAGGTACTGTGTATTGGATGTTGTACAGCCTTGTCCCCACCCTCTTGCAAGGTAGGAGTTATCTCCCGTTTACTGGAAGATCAGATAGGGAAGGGCTTGCCCCGGGTCTCATGGAATTTCAGATGAGGTGCTTGATTCCAGTCCCTCCTTCCCCTGTACCTTGGAGTCTGATCTAAGTGATTGGCATTTCTGGATGTGGAGGAGGGACCCTGAGACCCGATTTTGAACTAGAAACGGTTCCTTGTGAGGCAGGAGTTCTTTCATGCTGAGCTTACACGGTGTGGGCTTTGGGAAGCTTCAGACCATGCTGGCAGGTTTCTTAGGATTCTCAGTGGGAAGCACTTGAGAACACAGCTTGCCCTCGGGGGAGGCTCGGGCTTGCCAGTGCTGCACCCAGGGCAAGACAGAGGTGCTGTTGTTCCCGGCAGGCACCCTGGGCTTCGGCAGGCACCCACCTTCCGCCCCCACCCTGCTGCCGTAGGCAGGATGAGCTCCTTGGGCCCAGGGAGGCATGCAGGGGCCTGCTGGCCTCTTCCTGGGGCTAGGGCGATACGGTGCCCCAACCACTTGCCCCAGTTGTGGTGGGGGAGGGGCTGCCTGCAGGCCCAGCCTGAGAGGTTGGGAGCTGGACTTCCGGTGTCTTCAGCAGGCAATTTGCATCCTACTGCTTGCCCACACTTGCCCCGAAGACTTTTGACAAATGTTCTCTACTCCAAGGCCTTTGCGTTTTGATTCAGACATGCACAAACCATCATTTTCTACCCTGCCAGCGTCTCAGTGGAGAAATGGAGAGGAAGATGGTGCCCATGTCCCCCATGAGGAATTCAGCCTGCAAAATGTGGGAAAAGAGATGTAAAAACAACAACAAAATGCAATTCGATTTTAGGACTCAGTCCCTTTTCCCAGGGCCAGTCCATTTCTATTTAAATAGCCCAGTTTGTTTGACCTGTGAGATAAATCTTGGCTATGGATTCCTTGAGACTCCCTAGCACAGCAGAGTCCTACAACTGAAACCTCACACCAAAGGCTACTTTCCATATAGCCATTAGAGTCTATGATCTATGTCCCTGGCACCTTCGAAACATCTGTGCTTTGTCCCTGTCTCAGAGAGATAAAGACACTCATAAGTCTTGGGGACAAATGTGATGGGGTCCCCAGGCTCTTATGTGAAGGGTGTCTTTGTCACTGAAATACTTGATTGACAATAGGGGAGCATACAGTTGTCAATGTTGTATGCACTTCTATTTATCTGAGCTATCACTTGTGGGCCCAAGCTTCAAGTTGTGAAGTTGTTCATCATTTAGGAGTTGTGAACCCTAGAAAGCCCTCAGTTTGAGAAAGCTTCATCTGCCAGCACTAGATTGTTGGCTACGGGAGTTAGCAATGGGACACCCGTGTCTGATCTGCAGGTGACAAGTTTAGTGCAACTTGTGTTGTAGGAATTTACACAGAGGCACATCAGCCCTGTCCCGGGGATCAGGTGGAAGGAGGTGGCAGCTGCTTTTCCTTGGCCAGGGCCCCTCAGTTACAGAAGCAATGGAACATTCACTTAGTGTTGATCAGCATTCTTTAACAAAGAAAATAAATTATTATAAAAAGATCTAATCTTTGGTGGCAACTCCTCATTTTTCTAATGGCTTTATGGTAGGTTTTAATTTTCAAATGGTAAGCCCCTCTGGGACCCCTAAGTTAGGACATTAATCAGCTTGATTTCCAGGCAGTCATTGCTGAGTGTAACTGTCACCCAGGGCACAGGACCTCATCAAGGCTGACGAGGGAGCAGACACTGGCACGCTGCAGAGGTGAACCCAACTCGCTTTGTGGATGACCACACCCTCAACAAAGATGCCAGCCGGAGCACCAGAGAGCCCTGGGCCAGGCCTCATTTGGGAGAAGATGCTTTGACAGTTGTTTTTGCGAGAATGATTCTATGTTACCGGATTTTGAATCTAGCCTCCACCCAGAAAGTTCAGTGATGGAACCATCACTATCTGACGGAACCATAACTGCAAAACTGTGGCCCAGGACCTTCAGTGCTCTTTCGGAGGAGTTAAATGTGCACTTTGCAACCAGGAGGGGCATTCTGCCAAGCAGCCTCTACTCAGGTTCCCCGTTTGTGTACAGCAAAGCCTGAGTGTGAGTTCCTGCAGAAACCGGGTAGGGGGATGGACTGGGACATTTCTAAACGTGCAGATGAATGAATTACACTACCAGCAACTATCTGCACAAGTCTGCGGGACTTACATTCCTAAGATTTATGCAGTGGAACCTCTTCTCATTGTAACCCCAGTAGCACTGTTACTGTCCATGAAGGACATCATGTTCCTGGCTCCAAGTCATTCTGTTCCTTCCGCGGTCCTCCAGTTTTGCAGCTTCCCCATCTCAAATAACTGTACAACATTTGGCTTATTACATTTTTTATACAGTAAACTTAAAATGAAATTCCAAATTAATCATCGTTATTTTCTAATGGTGATTTTACTTCCATTTAAAAGTGGTTGGGGGCCAGCTTTGCGGCACAGTAGGTAAAGCCTCCGCCTGCAAAGCCTATATGGGCACCACTTCGTGTTCCAGCTGCTCCACTTCTGATCCAGCTCCCTGCTAATGGACCCCTGCACTCACACAGGAGAACTGGATGAAGCTCTTGGCTCCTGGTTTTGGCCTGGCCCAGCCCTGTTCATTGCGGCCATTAGGGAAATGAACCAGTGGATGGAAGATATCTCTGTCTGTCTAACTCTGTAATCTGACTTTCAAATGAATAAATAAATCTAAAAAAATTGTTTCCTTTTCACAGAACGTTTTTACTCTTACATAATGTTGGCGACCTCTCAAAGACATCCTTTCATGTTTCTGTGAAAACAACCAAGACAATTTTGATAGATTGGCAAATAACATTACCACTGTAACAGAAACTACTAGTTGTCCATCATTTTATGGTGAAGAAAGTGTTTTTAATTAATAGATCACTAAAGACGAAGTCCTTGAGTTCTAAAACTTGAAGGTGAAACAGATCTTTTGAATAAATTAAATGAAAAAGATCTTTGAGTCAAGTAAGGAAGGAGCAAAGTTTCAGAAAAGCCTCAGAACCTCGATTTGGAGTGGTAAGTATTGGATTGTTTTTGTGGGTGTGATTCAGTTTAAATTATCAACTTATTTTATATAGATCTATTTTAAAGGACCTTGATGACTTGTCTTTTGCCAAGGCTGATACCACACAATCAAATTCTTATCTGTTGCATAGACAGGGATCAGGCAAAGCAATTGACTGGAAGATGTTCATTGTATAGATTATTGATAAGTGGTCCCTTTGGGCCGTCAGCCAAGATGGGCACATGTTCAGTCTGCCAACTCTACTCAAGAAACGAATAAATCCAATATAAACCAAGGACTCCTCTTTTTCATTAATCAGCCAGGATACAGCAATATAATTCAGAAGAGCTTTGAGAATCTCAGTTGGAAAACTCTTGGATTTTGAAAAGAGGTGTGGAGGCCGGCGCCGCGGCTCATTAGGCTAATCCTCCACCTGCAGCACTGGTACCCCAGGTTCTAGTCCCGGTCGGGGCGCTGGATTCTGTCCCGGTTGCTCCTCTTCCAGTCCAGCTCTCTGCTGTGGCCTGGGAGTGCAGTGGAGGATGGCCCAGGCCCCTGGGCCCTGCACCTGCATGGGAGACTAGGAGGAAGCACCTGGCTCCTGACTTCAGATCGGCGCAGTGTGCCTGCTGCAACACGCCGGCCATAGCGGCCACTTGGTGGGTGAACCAACGGAAGGAAGACCTTTCTCTCTGTCTCTCTCTCTCACTGTCTAACTC